AGATCAATCTTAGAGAAGATGGTGGCTCCAGATATTAAGTCAAACATGTCATCCAATCGGGAAATGGGGAAACGATATTTCACCGTGATCTTGTTGATTGCACGGCTATCCACACACATACGCCATGTGCCATCTTTCTTGGGCGTCAGTAATGCGGGAACCGCGCAAGGGCTCATGCTTTCTTTCACAACGCCCTTCTTCAACAATTCATCAACTTGCCTTTTCAGCTCTGCATGCTCACTGGGGTTCATCCTATAGTGAGGCAAATTAGGAAGGGTTGCTCCCGGGACTAAATCAATTGCGTGTTGGATATCACGCATCGGGGGTAATTGGTCCGGGAGGTCCTCAGGGAAGACGTCGGAAAATTCTTCCAACACAGTAACGACTTCTGGGGGAGCCACGTTAGAAATATCTTTCGGAGTTTCTCTAGCGGCGAGAGCGAAAATAGGAGCTCAGTTGGCCAGTTCACGATCAATCTCTTTAGCTCCAATCAGGTTAACGCCTTGGGAAGACTTGTTTGGATCGGGCTTCTTGTCAGTTCCTTTCGGTTGAACCGGAAGGATCTTGACCTTCTTCCCGTCATGCTCAAACAATAGCATGTTGGATCGCCCGAAGATATGAACATCGTTATCAAATAACCAAGGCCTTCCAAGAATAACTTGACCCACATTCATTTTCAGAACATCGCACCAAACTTTGTCCTTATAAATGGCAAATTGAAGAGGGACTAGACATCTCTCTTGGACATTGAGGGCAGTGTCGTTAATCCATGATACCTTGTATGGATTAGGATGTGGTACAACCTTAAGACCAAGCTTAGCGATCACAGCTGAGGAGACCGTGTTAATACAACTTCCACTGTCCACGATCACTTTACAATTTTTATCACCAATCTTTGTGAACATATGGAAAATGGAAGTACGTCTCCAATCATCAACAACCTTGGGTTGAGAGATGGCGCATCTGACAACTGATACGGTAGGAGTTTCAATTTGTCTAAGACAACCTAAGATAGTATCATCTGCATCATCCTCAAAATCATCGGTATCATCGTCAACTTGATGGACAAACTCGTCACTGTCAGGTTCAGGTTCGTATTCGTATTGTCCATCGATGATAGCAACCTTGTGACGGGTCGAACAGTTCGCAGAAACATGCCCATAACCTTGGCATTTGTAGCACTTGACGTGAGCGCCAATCTTGGAGAAATCTCTCTCCGGCTCCTTGCCTTTGGGGTCGACTTTAGACTGGGAAGAACTGTGGTTAGATCGACTCGGAGGATGACTAGAAGTAGTAGCACAGGAAGGTTGGGAGGAATGATTTCTAAAATCCTGACTCCTATAATATTGATGGGATTTTGATTCATCTAGATCCAGAACTAACGCGTAAGCTTTTTTAAGGGTGTCTACTCCCCGAGCAAAGAGTTCAGTTTGTAGATCATTTCTCAATCCAGCTCTAAAATTCGACAAGACTTTCATTGGTACCTCTTGTTCAATGGTGTTGCATCGAGTAAACAGTTCGTCAAATTGTGCGACGTAGTCTTTCGCAGATTTGGTTCCTTGAGTGAAGCGATGTCACTTATCTAGTAATCGATGATAAAATGATGGCGGAAGGTATTTCTGTTTAAGTTCGTTGGTCATTTCTCGCCAAGTTGTAATTGGTAACTCGCCTCTAATGTGTCTCAACGTTTCGAGGTTGGTCCAATATTGGCAAGCAGGTCCGGTAAGTTTCATCGCGGCGAACTTGACCTTTCGGGGTTCCGTAAGGACGTACCAATCAAAGTAACGATCCATGCTCTTCAGCCAGTCCAAGAAAGCTTGTGGGTCGAGCTTACCGTCAAAGGTAGGTGCACTGACCTTAATACTCCTCCGGTATTGCACATCCGGATCAGGTGCAGGTTGATGTGGGGGGCACTGAACGATGTTTTCATAGCCTTGACCTTGCAGCAGTGGGACGATATGTTGATAACCTTGATCTTGCGGCGGCGAGGTTGCAACACGTGTTTCCTCGATCCTAGCGATCCTTTCATTGGTAGCTTTACTCTCTTGGACTAAGTTATCTACTGTTCCTGCTAGCTCAGCGATTTGCTTAAGAATTTCGGCGAACTCGGGATTTGCAGTGCCTGACATGCTGGACTCACTAATTGACTCACTTGATTCTCCTAATCGATAGTGTAGACCCGTGCGAGTGGGCATGCGCTAACAACTAGATGATATGAATGGGTGCAGAAAAATTAAATGAGATGACTGAATTTTTTTTTTAAAAATAAAGACTCAACAAATTTCCTAACCTAGAACCACGCTCTGATACTAAAAATGATGCGAAACAATGTGATGCAGGTATGAAGATTAACGACAGCAATGCTTCGCCAAATCAGCGATCGATCTAGGCAGGAAGCTCAAGAATAAAGTGTAGCATTCGATGGGTTTTAAGCAAAAGTTGCAATGTACTAAGTTCAAATCTTTTGTAAATTATCCAGAAAATAAATGTAATGATTCGTTCTCTTAATACAGTTCAAATTGTAATATTTGGAGAAGCAGAAATACTTGGCAACAGATTCGCTCGCTCACTAATCAAACAGAATACAACATAATCGCAATTGATACGAAAATTGATAATAATATACACGCAATAGCAGTTCCAAAAATGCTTGGACGTAAGAAAATTAAACCTTCGTCAGATTGTACCGGTTCGACGGGAGGATCCTCTGGAGGTGGTTCAACGACGTCAAATATGAGGGGTGGAAGCTCTCCACAGAGGGCGACGTAATTAGGATGGAGCGGTGTATCTGGATGGAAACGCCGATGCCACGAGCTGATTCCCAAGCTACTCTCTAGGCTGTCAACGATCTGATGAGTCACACGCTCGACGTACTCGGGCACGCTCTCGAACGGCTGATAATCAAACTACGGGGAAAGTTCTAAATCCACTATACCAGTTTCTAGATCAAGCATAAGATCGTGGTCTTCAGCGTCAGTATCAGTCATGCACCAATGGCCAACAGAATCAGATTATAACTATGCTCCGGCGGATCTAACAATACGAGTGGGTCTAAACTGAAATAATTCTAAACCAACTTAGATCCGGTTCAGGTCTGAACCAAAATAAACCAATCAAATAAATAGGGCCCTGAACAAATGGGTTCATTGATCTCAGTACTCCTCTTCCTTTGTTCTGAGGAAAAAGAAGAAAACGCAGCAGAGGGAGAGGAACAGGCGGGCGGCGGAGCGGGTGGTGGTGCTGGATTCGTTGGGTTTGAAGGGGGTGAGTTGGATGTTGAAGAAGATGAACAGTAGCGATTTTTTTTTTTGTTTCTTTTTTTTAGATGGCTGCAGAGAAGAAAAACGAAATTACTGCTAGGGTTTCACACCACAATCAAGCAAGATAATTTTTATTTTTATTCTTCAATGATTCTGATTTCTGAATACAAGAGTTCTTAAGTAGAATTACAGATTTGGAATATCTTAATTCCCTCAAATCTCTCTCTCATAATCAGTTACAACTAATCAGCTGATTACAAAAAAAAATCAAAATTCGAAATTCAAAAATTTAAATTTCAAACTAATTTATTACAACTGAAATCAAAACCATAAAGCTGCGACATGGCGCCTCCTGCGCTGATAAACTCGGCAAAAATCTCGTGTACGCGTCCGGATGTCCCCATCAAGGAGTCATAGAGGAAGAAGTGGCAATTGGTAGCGGCGCCCGAGGACAAGGCATGGATAAACAGTAATGCTACTATTGTTCACACGATGAACAGTAATTCCAGTGCTGTTCATGTGATGGACGCTAACCACTGGTAACGATGAACATTTTTTTTTTGTAAAAAGAGGGGTCTTTTCATAAGGATTTAGGAATTAGTGATCTTGAAGCTGAAGCCACCAAGGGGAAGTGAACATATAAAGTTTGCGGCTCTCGGCAGCCCGGAGGACGAGAAAGAAGAAAAAGGTCTCTCCTAGATCAATAAGATAGCTCTGATACCATATAGGGAACTAGAAAAGACAAATATATAATTCATCTAACTCTAACCTCTCTTAAATAGAGATTAGGAGGGTATTACAAAACATACATGACATAAAATCATATCTAATTTACATCTCACATTATCTCAACAATATCTCAATACTAACAATTTCTAACAAAATGGATGTGTAATACTCATATTCAATCACGTAATATTAAATACACATTGTACTATGATAATATGACATGTAGTGGATTATGTACATCAAATAGTCAACATGTTAATGACTTAGTGAAAATTACCAAAGGGAAAATTTTTAGTGGCTGCTTTTCATGTCGCGTCCGCTTTTGGGCGGGTTTTTTCAAGAGGAAAGCGACTAAGGGCACAAAAATGCTTAAGCGACCTGCCTAAGCGGCGTAAGTGTTGCACGATTTGCTCCCAAGTGAATCCTTACAAATGTTGGATCAAATTCTAGCACCGACATTAATTAATGTGTGCTCCCCCTTGAGGGCTAACACACGCTAACAAAGTCAAAATAAATAATCCCATCGCCCATCGAACAATGAACTCCTACAATTTGTTGGATTTCAAATGCCCATGAATAAAGACGAATTATGCTGATGTACTAGAAAACTCAAATGATGGAGAAGTATTTCACTACACATCTATCTATCAAACTGTTTTTTTCGAGCATGGCACTAAATCACATCCTACAAAAGAAATAGATCCTCGAGACACCCAAAACATCTACCCACCTATATGCGCATCTACCCTATCTAACATAAACGGTCTAAAGCATTGAAATCACAACATATCGTCGACCCTACTCGAACTTAAAAGCAGCAAACAAGCAAAGACGAAAACAAGAACACACTACAGTGCCCAAATCACTCACCAAACAGGAACATGCGCTCCTTTTTCTTTAAGCGACCGACAACGAGGGACTCAAATCACAATTCACGCCCAAAACCCAACACTACTAATTGCAGCTCTACAACATACAACAGAAGAACAAAACAAGCTCGGGGGCACTCACCAAACGCCGCCTGCGCAAGCTCGACATACCGATTATACCTCCGGCCCGGCACCGCTCGTGGAGTCTAAGCGGCAGCAACCAAAGCGTATACAGCTGCCAGCAAAATAAGGCCCACCACCGATCCCGCAATACACCCGCGCAGTGCCACCCAAGAAACGCGAACGCCACGGGGACCACCAGCGCCTGGAAGCCAAACCCCAGCATTCAAGCTGTGAAAGCGCGCGTAGTGGCGCGTTCGCCGGATTTCTTGAATTCGCAGTGATGGGGACCCTACTGCGAGATTAATTAATTCTGATGCCTGGCGGGTTGAGCTTCGTCCAGGTGGCCCTATCTCCTGCGAGGTAGCGCTGCGGAGGTTAACGAAGGCCATTGCCTTCATTGGGGTTTTCCTAAGACGCGAGGGAAGATTGTCGGGGTGCGGCTATGATTTGGAGGCCCGCCGCCCCGCCCCCGCCGCCCCGCCGCCGCCGGATTTGTGGCCGTGGGGGTGAGGGGCTCCGGCGTCGAGAATGCATCTTGGGGTTGCTTGGCAATCGGAGACGAGCATCCGACTAGCTGTGCTGGGCCCAATCTATTCTCGTCTCTCAATTTGCTCCAGGTAGCTTGGCCTATTATGGCTTTAAGAATGGCAGGCGTGCTAATGGGAGAGGCAGCGGGGCGCTGCAAGGGTTTTCGCGCGTGTGACAGGAAGAGGGAGGGAATGACCGAGCAGGCGCCTTCGTAGGGTTGCCAGTTTAAGTGGGGCTGTGAGGGCTGCTTTTGGACATTTTGCAGTTCTGGCCGGTTCTGGGGTTCTGTGCGGGTGGGCGGGTGGTGCTTTTAGCTTTCCGAAGAGAGTTTTGTAAGCGGACCGTGAGGGAGCGCAGGGAGTGGGGACAAAAGACGAAGAGGTGGCAGCATTAAACAAGGAGGCTCCCGACCTTGGAGGCACCCTTGCTCTTCTCCACCATTTTAACTTTGTTTTCTGAAGTAATTAATAATATGGATATTAAATCTACAACACTTATTGTGTTATAACTATATTATATTATAATTCAATCTAATATATTAATAATGATTTGTTAAATAATGATAAAAAATAAATAATTAAAATATCTTACATAATAATATAATAACATATTAAATACTAAGTATTTAATAGTAATAAATAATAATAATATATAAATAAGCTCAATAAAAATAACAAAAGTTATTGATAATTAAATAATATACTAAATAATATAATAATATACTATATAATATTATAATGCACTTCAAATATTATTAAAATTTTAATTAATAAATTGTAATAAATTAAAAATTATTTAATATTATATGTACTAGTAATATTTAATAATAATATTATATGAATATAGTGTATAGTAAATGTAAATATAATATGTAAGTATTAATATATTATCTAATAAATCAATATAATATATTTAATAAAATAAAATAAAATTTAATACTAAATAATTTGTTCTGAACAAATGTTAAATGTAAAAATAATATATTTAAAATATAATAATATTTATTTATAACAATAAATTAATTCATAATATTATTAAAGTATTATTAATAAACTCTAACATAGTTAGAAAGCTATATAATGATTATATACCTAATTAAAATATTAATAATATATTAATTATTAATAATATACTAGTAATAACGTAATATTAAACTTATTAATAATATAATAATTATATTAAAATAGTTTAAAGCAAATTTTGTTTATATTATTATTTTAAAAATATTATGTAATATATAACAAAAACAAATTGATATACCAAAATAATTAAATATATAATTATTTAAAAATAAAATGTAATAATTATAATACAATAATAGTTATAATATAATATAACACATTAAAGTACAATATAATATTATAATACATTATATAATATTATATTATATTATATTAATACTTATAATACTATAATAATATAAACTAAATATTATAATATTTTATTTATAATATATTTTATTATTATTAATATATAATATATTAATAATATGATTAATACTAATGTTGTAATGGTTCAAACTAGTGTTGACTAAAAACACTCAACATGGTGTTTTGAAAATACTTTAATAAGGAAATAACAAAACACCATGATGTTTTTTACAAAAAGACAACAACGAAAACACCATGATATCCAAACAAAGCCTAAATTATTTAAAACCTAATTTATGTATTGTTATCATTATAGTTTTGTATAGTTCTGCCAAAATTTCTATATTTATGTTTAAGTTACGATATCTTACTATATGTTGCTATATTTGGACTAAATGTTATATTTTTTCAAATAATATTAAAAAAATGATGAATACACAATTAGGTTTCTGAATATAGTTTAGTATAAGCATGTTGGGTTAAGAATGATTTCTGGAAGTAAGTTTTAAAATATTTTGGATTAAAGCTTTATTAAGTTCACAAATAAAAACACATAGTAAATATATTTTGGACATGTAACTAAATTAAAAATTAGCCTTTTGCTCAAAAGAAAAAAACATTAGTCTTCTGAGTCAGTATAGATCTTAGATAACTTTTGGATTCCAAACAAGTTAACAAGGGGACCATTATTAAACGAGTAATATGATATTCTATTGGTATTACTACTGAAATGGAAACTCAAGAAAGAAAGTCATGCATATACAATATCTTATGTTTTCGTTATAATTAGTCCTATGAATATTCTAGATCCGTATAGACATGATAACAAGGGGTTTAACCCTTCCTTAACTCTCCAAAGAACAAAATTAGTACAAAGGTTACCAAATCCGTATAGACATGATAGCTAACACCTTAATTTAGCGAGTTTACTAATCCGCGTGAGCAGGCAGAACAACTTTGTTCCATCTCTTCAATAAGGGTATGGACGGTAGTTAAGAATAAAAATTAGAAAGATCTTCTTAAGCTAAATATTAGAAAACCCTCCTTAACTTTGGATGATTATTAGAGGCATTCTATCTTTGATTTTCTCTTCCTCCGAGGACACGACAACATTTGCTTAGGAGATTAAGGACCACCTCCGATGACGCGAGACTAACCTCCTTCCAAGACCCACTCACATCCTATTGCGGGAAAAGCCTCTATATCAATCTTCCTTAAGTGAAGGAATTAAATACAACGGCCCCAAACCCAAAGCTTTTAAAGTACTAGAACACCACCCTCACCTTCGCGCCCCCCAAGTATAGGGATTACCACAAAACCCCCTCCCTTTAACTCTCAGATTTAATTAGAAAAATCCCTTTAACTTTTGAGATTTTATATTTTATCAGAAAATCCCCTTAAATTAAAGAGATTTTCTGATAAAATTTCAAAGTTAAAAGGGGTTTTCTGATAACCTTTAAATTTAAGCGGGATTTCTGATATTCCAAAAGTTAAGGGGAGTTTCCTGATAATCGTCCAAAGTTAAGGGGGGGGGGGGGGGGGGGGGGTTAGGATTTTGATATTTAGCCATATATTTACATGACAAAATATTCTTTAGTAGAGGAAGAATACTTCCTTTTCATAAAATTCACTCTCATAATAAGCTCTTCTCTGCAATTCCATTTTTTTTAATTTAATAATTAATTCATCATGTAAGGTTACCAACTACAGCCTTTGATGTAGATTCTCTAAAAGACATGTTGTTTTCATTTCCTTTATATTGAAAAAATATATGATGTAATAGTATGAAAAAATTGCTAATTTAATATAAGATATCTAAATATATTGTAGATGTATAAGTGTGTCATATATTTTTAATAATATTCTGAATTGATCATAATCTTTTAAAATAATTATGGAATACAATTAAGGATGTAGAGAATCTCAACCTTCTTTTCCTTATTCATACTTAGGCCCTATAATATGTAATTAAAAGATTGTTCATCTCCCTCAAGAAACCCAAGTCTAAAATAGACAGGGTTGATGTCTTTCCGAATGCAAATCATGCATTTTATTGGTCCATAAGCCCTATCCATATATCTAACGATCTCAACCAATAATTATGGCATATTATTGGTCCATAAGCCCTATCCATATATCTAAATATATTGTAGATGTATAAGTGGGGGGGTGAATAGGGCTTATGGACCAATAATATGCAATTAAAAGATTTTTCAATAAACCACACACAAATATGAAATACAATGACAATAAAAGAGAGTAGAGATAGAGATAGTTAGCCAATTGATGACAAGCGGTATGTTCACGAGGTTTGGTCCGCTGACCTACGTCCCCACTCCTCACTCTTGAGGAGAAATCCACTACACACCCGGTTTGGAAGCCGGAACTTCTTCTACACAACGATCTCCACCGAGATCTCACAACCATACAGTCGATCTCCACGAGATCAAGCTCACAACAGTAGCAAATGAAAGAAAAACCCTCTCTTTACAGTAACCCTATGGCAAGAAGAGAGATTACACTGAAGCTTGGGATGTGAATTTTGAAACGGTGAAGAACAAGATTGAAATTTGAAGCTTTTTGAAAACACAAACTTATACACAAGAGATTTGCAATAAAATTTTGTAGCTGAAGTAGTTGGGGTTGTTGGGTATATATAGGGGGAGAATACAATAGCCAAAACCCTAAGGAATCAGAAAAAATCCCACAGAAATCGAGAAACAGATTCTGTAAAAAACTAGCCGTTACTATACCCATCACTCGACTGATGGGAAGCTTCAGTCGACTAATGAGCTGATCGTTGTATACGATTTCCAGCTCATCGGTCGACTGACAATCATTTCAGTCGGCTGACGAGCTCGACAGTTGACTGGTCAGTCGACCAAAATAGAACAGAGACTTTTTGATGATTCTAGGCACTTTCATCGGTCGACACATCAGTCGACTGATTTTATCAGTCGACTGATAACAAGTTATCAGCCTGAAATGATTTTAAAATTGAGTTTCAAAGCTCTGTTAAAAATAGTAAATAAATTCCAAAAATTATGAAACTTTGTAAACAGTTTATAAATATTTTAACAAACTTGTTTAAAAAGGAATTTTGCAAAAAGGTCCTTGTATTTGTGAAAATCACTATTTTAGCAAAAGTAACAAAATACGAATTTTTGAAAGTGTGCAAGTGTGTTATCCCATGAGCTTCAAATATAATCAACTAACTACTTGCCTACATTAAGTACTAGAGAGGAAAAAAATAGCAAATATTCCTCACATATGAGCACATGGCTTGAGTCTTGATATTTGCTCTTGAGTTGATGAAGTTTCTCATGAATATAGTGCTCTTGAAAGTTTTGCTTCATCACTTTGCCTTCACCTCCTTGGATATTGTCGTTATAGCTCATTTTCCATCAAATCCTCCATATATGGTGCTAATGAATTGTAATCTACAATATAGCTCAATACACAATTAGCACCAATAATGGTGTTGGTAAATC